AGCATGAGTTGGGTGCCTGCTGAAAATCAACAAGGAGAATTTATTAGAGGGAAAGAAACCATTACAACTCAAAGAATCACCGCTCTCTGTATTTTTACTTTAACGTTTAGAAATCCAGACACAACTTTGTTCGTTTTGTCTTTAGCTTCATCAAAGTTTAGTTCTTCCTGCTCTGCTCCAGAAATATTCCACCTCCACTGCTGGAGAACAAAATTACCATCACCCTTAATGCTCCCAGCATCCTCAGGGGCAGTCGTCCTGACTTTCAACACTTTATTCTAATTACTAGTTCACTCAAATTGGCTTTGAGTGAACCAAGAAAACTATAAAAACAAAGCAGGTGAGCCCACCTTCACACCTAAAACAAACTCTCATGTTCTCATAGTGAAACAAAACATGACTTGACTGCCTGGTTTGGATTTACATTTAATGATAAGTGGATAAATGTTTTATTTGGTAAAATGTTTGCAGACTCTTTTCAGCTGTTAAATGAATAATCTGCCTTAACAACCATGAATGGAGCGATCGTTTTTCTCCAGGTGTATAATCAGAATCCATTGATTTTTTTTTTTTTCATGTTTGATGTAATTAAATAACTGTTTAATATTAAAACAATTTTAATGTCTTTTTTTCATTTATATAATAACCATGGCTGGGCAAAAGAGTCCTTTTCTACTAACATACTCTTACTACAGGTCTCATTCATTAACACACATTCATAAATAGCTTTTTTGCTAAACATTCATACCCTTTGATGTATCTGGGTCAACTTGTAGTTTAGTATCTTGATCAAGAACACTCGGTAATGCTGAGTCAGGGATCGAACTCCTGGCCTTCTTGTTAATGCAATGACCCTAAGCCACAGCTGAGGGGTCACCAACGGAGGTAGATCAGCATGTTCGATTTGGCTCAGATTTTAGTCCGGATATTTTTCCCAGATGCCTTAAAAATGCACGGCGTCAACGTTAGCGCCGTCCAGCCCCACGCACGGGGCGATCCGTGTTAACCGAGATTTGTCGTGTTAGTGTGTGTGTGTGTGTGTGTGCGCGCGCATCCAGTAAAAAGAAACAGTTTGTGTTTGCTTCCACCTACAGAATGGTAAATGGACTTGTTCTTATATGGCGCTTTTCTACTCTTATATGAGCACTCAAAGCGCTTCATACAACTAATTCATTCACCCAATCACAGTTTCCAAGTTGTTAAATGCTTGCTATCTATCATTCACACTCCGATGGATGCATCGGAGACTAACATGAGGTTAGTATCTTGCCCAAGGATATTTGGCAAGCAGACCAGAGGAGCTCGGGATCGAACCAGGAACCTTCCAGTTAGTAGCTGACCTGCGCTACCACCTGAGCTACAGCCAAGAACACTTGTTCTCTTCCAGCTCTGTTTGTTTTGACCGATCCTGGGGGAAATATGTAGATATTTATCTGCTAAATGCTCCACCGTGCGCACCGCTGTTTAGCACAGAAGTTTCCTGTTGGGATGCAGAAACTCTCCCGTCAGTCACAGTTTACCTGCCGACCTGTTCTCTGCTTTTTCCGTGTGGCAGACAGTCCATGTCTTTTTTTTTTTAACCTGGGCGTTTCCTTTAACTGCCTGATTGGTAGCCAATCGCATGCTCGGCTAACAAAAACATTCTCCTCCTTGCGCATAGCTGTTACAGGTATGTCTCGTTTGATACGCTGTTCCTTTTGTATAAGCCGCCTGTTGTAGAGACTGCCTCCTCTGTGAAGACGCCGGACCGGTATGTAACTTCTGAACTCATCATTTTTGGTTTGAACATCGTTTTATAACTGGCCTAACTGGTGGTCAAACAGCTGTATAGAAATAAACGCGCTCAATATTTGATATCTTTAAAATGCATTTCTTTGCTCTTGCTTGCTTTGGTAAACATTTACAGATGATTTAGGGATGGTCAGCCCTACAAATAATTCATACACTTTATATCTGCTGGACTGTTGGAGTAGACGTTAGTCTGTTGTTACTCTTTGACACGGTGACAGTCCAACCAGTTTATCCTGTGGCACACCTGCGCCAGAGACCTCTACCAGGAACCAGGATTTCGTCGGATCCGGGTAACTTCGAAGCTTTGGGCTAAAGTCTTTCACTTCTTGCCGCGGTCCATCCCACAGTATCTTATGCACATTAAAGATCAACAGGCATGAAGTCACCGCCCACTGTCCTGTCAGTTCTCCGAAAAAAAAACAAAACATCACAATTCCTGGAAAAACCCTCCAGCTCTTTGTGCAGACAGAAGGAGCGTCTGAAGTTTTCCACTAGCGTGAAAATACTTTGCGTTTTCCAGGGGGTTAATATGAAATTCTTAGAGGCAACGTTATCATCTGAGTAACAATTTTATATTTTTAAATAAGCAGCACAGCACCCATTTGTACTTTCTGGCCTACATACAGGGCTGAACTGGTAATCTGTCATTTGCCTGATATGCTGATACACTTGTTTCCCCACGATTCAACACATACTTCCACCAACAGAGCAAGAAAAAGACCGAGAGTGTAATTAGAGAGAATAAAGCATTAAGTGACTATTAGTTAATTAGGTTTAACTATTTTTTCTTTTGTTTTTCAGGGAATAAAACATTTAATTGACATCAGTCCTGTTTCTTTCTGTCTAATCGAGCCAGGTTTTCGAAGTAGAATTTGAATATTATATCATGATAAAGATTTTTAAAGTGCTATATGTGTGTCACCTGTCGTAGGTGTTATCATTTTTGTTGCTAGCTGTGGTGTCGACATTGTCATCAATGAGCCAGTTGTAGGAAGAAGAGCAGATGCGAATCTTTTCCTTCTTCTTCTTGGAGAGATATCGTCCATCAGCATTAAAGTCCCCCAAAAGCATTATATTCTGCCAAAAAATGCCAAAAGAGAGCAGAACTCACTTAGTACAATGACAGATGTTTGTTACAGCCAGTATGTGACACTCTAATGTCTAATGGTATTAATGTATTCTTTAAATAACAGCACAGAGATTTATATGGTAGGATATATTCATTATTATGCGATCCCGTGAAGAGCTGTTATTTATTGAGCATCACTTCACTGTAGGATACAAAGATTTATGCACTTGTGTTTTTAAAGTTTCCTTTTCATTTGTTAATGAGCAAAGCAGCTTGAAGACATCCTTCCTTATCGGTCTGTCTAAAGGATGACAAAATCAAGTAGTTAAAACTATATTATAATCTGAGTCACTATATGGATTAACAAGGTGAGATATTCAGGATCTGCTTTAAAACAAAGGTCAGATAAAGTTATTTATTAAGATTCTGAATGAAGGGAGTTTGATCTGTGTCCTGTTTTGGAGCTTAGTTCACAGTTTGTTGTTTATTCGCTGCTTGGTTAGGTTTAGGAACTAAAAGTAATTGTTTAGTTTTAGAAGATATTGTAGTATTGTAGTATTTCAGCTTGAAGATTTCTGCTGTAAGAGAAAATATTCAGCTATATTCTACAAATATTCTAAAAGGCAACAATCCCAGCGTAGGTTATTAAATTATGGTCATTACGTGTTCAGCACAAAAAATTCTTCTTTATGTAGATTGCTTAAGGATTCTTGTCGCTAGGTATTAGCAAATAGTCAAGTTAACCTTGACTTATAAGGCTCATGTAGTCAGTATAATCTACTGCAACTGGCCACGGTGTAGTGATTAGTGTTGTATTGCTGTAGGTGAAATAAGCCAAACCCCTGCTCTTATGGATTGCAGAGGAACATAATTTCTGTTTTGGTGTAAAAAAGAGGCTGGGGGAAAGGCATGTGAGTGGAGTGGGTCATCAATGCATTTTTATTAAATTCTTTATACACGACGCCTTGTGGAGAGATACAACACTTGGTTGTGTTGAATTGGAGCTTTATGATAAATGCCTCAGTTCTTGGAGGTTTTTTTTTAAATCATCTTCATATGGGTACTGAGAGGAAACACCCAGAATGGTGTGGCGCGTGTAAACCAAGTAAACTGGTTTCCAACACAAATGATTGCTTACTTACTCAAGAGAGAATGCTTGCCCTCAGGATTAATGATGGAGGTGAACATTGTCTTCCACTGGAAGATATTATAATGCAAGAAGAAACTAAAAGGAAAAAAGCAAGGCTCTCGATGAAGTATCAGACACCGGCTAA